CTCTCTCTCTCTCTCACACACACACACACACACACACACACACACAAAATATAAATAAAAATGAATAATAGATTTTAGACAATTTAAATTATACAAATTATGTTAAATTAAATAAGTTAAAATTTATTATTTAGCATTAAAGTTCATTATTACAAAGATTCAATTGTATGATGAACGTCACTAATTTTTAAAAGTAACTTTTTCTATACATTTGTATTTTAAATTAAATTAATTGGTGATTCACCAACTGCACAGATGATTTTATGAATTGGCATGTGTTTAATTAAATTAATTTTACAAATATAAGAATGTGTAAAATCAAAATAAATTAGATTTAAATATAACTACCGAACAATTACTGTATTTATTGTCACAAATAGTTGTAATTCAGTTTATTTTGTAATAAAAAGTTCTGATAAAATGTTTTAATTGTAAAAATAATTTTATTAAATATTTTATATAAAAAATTTAATATCTGATCTGACATTTTACCATATGTTTTTAATAATTGCCAAAGTGTTTACTTTAAGTAATTAATTAATTAAAACTCGTGTTTTAAGAATTATAAATCTCAACAATTAATTCATTTATTATTGTTATTAAACTAAAATTGTGTTTTGGTTGCATTGTAACAGTAAAATGTTCTACATTGTTATTTTAACATTAATTTGTTCAGGTAATTTACAAATAATTAAATAACTGCATATAATATAAAATTACCTTAAAATAATTAACCTTTAAAAAAAACTTTACATTTACATACTAATTAAAGTATTGATTCTAACAATTGTAAGTTAAGTAACTTATTTTATGTCATTTTTTGAGACGTACTGACGTTTAGTAACTTTTTAGCAACTTTTTCACTTTTATGCTGAATTAACAGATATTTCACAAAATAGTTAAAGTAATATTGATTTTTAGCTAGATTTTTCATAAGATTTATTGTTAATAATCATTTATTTCTATAATTTTGATATAAAATAAATAACTTTTTCATAACATTTTATCACATTTTTTGCAACTTTTAGGTCATTTATAAATAACTATTTGAATAACTTTAAGACTGGTTGCTATCACCTAAGAATCAATGCTTTTCTAACAATAATTACAAAAAATTACTAAAGTCTAAGAAAATAATTCAATAATTAAAATATAAAAACAATATCATTCAAAGCGCGCGCTTTATTAATGGACGAAAATGAATTGGACAAGGTCAGTCTGAAATTTCTCGGCTTTGGCGACCCGAATAATTTATTAATAACCAACGATGGTGAATATAATCTACTTTGCCACCAGTAAAACAAAACAAAATAGACATTTATATCGCTAACTTAAATAACAATAATTTACTATTTTAATTAGCATGCACAAAACAGACCAGACTGTGCTAATTAAAGAGCTACTAGATCGGTACGGCAAAAGCAAAAAGGCAGCTGACTTTATTCAAATCAGCCACAATAGTACCCAGGTGTTTGCAAAAATATGCCATGATTATAAGAACAAGGGCATAGTGTTTTTAAATGCTTACAAAGAGATAAATGACAAAACTAACGAGATGAAAACATCGAGGGAACATTTGGTAAACGCCCTTGTTGAGGCGTCAAAACTCGGCACCAAGCATAAACTGGGCGATGTTGTATGGTAATTATTATTTTAATTACCTTGTATGCGTATTTATACCATGTATACTATGACAATCTTAGTTTTTTGAAAAAATGGATTGACATAAATGTAGGCAAATTTTGCGGTGAGGCGCAGAACGCGCTGAAAGACAGGTTACAACTTCTACAGAACTATGTTAACTCTATGGAGAAAACTGTGTCGGCAAATTGCGATTGGTCAAAAATACCCAGGCCTACAGAAAAACACCCAAAATCTATCCAGTTGCTTATGGCACAAGCGTTGGTTAATTTAGATAAATAATTATTATAATATTATTATTTTTATAAAATATGGTCTGGATGATTAATAGGAACGCTTAAATAATTTTAAAGTGTTTTTGGTTCAGCTTTAATTTTTTATCCAAATTAGTCTTGATTAAAATTTTAAGTTTTATTAAAAATAGTTTGTTTTCAATGTATTGAGCTTTTTTTAAAATATAATTACTATTTATTTTATAAATTATATAATATCATAATTTTATCTAAATTAATTAAAAATGTTTAATATTTATAATAATGATTTATACACATTGTTATAATGAAGATCACAAACTAATAATTATCTGCAATGTACAAGTTCAATTTTAACAATTATATTTAATAATTTTGTTATAACCATAAATAGGGCATTATGAGTCATTTAATATGCAGACTAAATAAAAGCCATGAATTAGTAAAAAAAATCATAACATTTAGTATTTAACTCATGCTTTAAAATGAACAAATAGTTGTAATAGTCATTATTGTGTTCAAAACTATGAAAAAAGCATCCAAAAAGCATCCCCGCGGTTGCCTTACTCATGATTCAATATTTAGCAAAACAATTAAAATTATAATGATTATAATACAGTAAATATGCATTTTATTTACTCATTACTTAAAAATGCAAAAATTAAAAGTAATAAAAATGGGATGTTATAGTATAATGCTAAGTCTATGGGGGAGTGCTAATCCTATGGACTCTTATTGAATGTGTAGATTATGCTAATCTATTCTTTGAGAATCACCCGAATAGTGGTTAACGTATAGCATCGCTGTGTGATCCTTGTTTGTACTAAAAATATTATAATAATTACAATTAAACATGTTACTCAATATATTGTCACTACCAAGGTGGCATATATTTACTGTAGATATAACATGTTACTATTAAAATAACAATTTTTTAATTATAAAACCGTTTTTATTGTTAACAAAATTTTAATTATAACAAAACTAAACACGTAATGAATTTATTTTACTCTTTGAGTTACTTTAACACGAATACCATATTTAGGTTTCTTAACCATAGCGTGATATTCAATCACTTTGTCTATGGGTTCGAGTGATCGGAAGGCATAGCGATGTAAGACTCGGCCCAAAACCACTTTCAGCTCATTCATAGCAAACCTCTGGCCAATACAGTCGCGGGCGCCCAACGAAAACGGCATAAAGCTAGCTGCTTTATTACCACCATGTTCAGATGATAGCCATCTATCTGGAATAAACTTCAGGGGCTTAGGGTATATATCTGGATCGTGATGCAATTTAGTGACCGAAATGTCGACAAATTCTTCGACCCGACCCAGCCCGAACCCAAACCAACTCGACCCGAACCCGACCCGAACCCTAGATCCAAATTTCAAACCCGAACCCAACCCGAACCCTAAACCCGAAAATATAACAGTAAAGTAGATTTTACAGGCGTTTAACCACATTGTTGACGTTTTATTGAACTGCTGTTACTTTTAAACTATAAAACAATACTTTTTGACTTCTATTAGTTATATGTGCTTAAAGAAAACAATTGCATGAGTTTACGAATGTTTTTTGAGTATAAAGTTTGCTTTTGGGTTTAGGGTCTGATTAGGGTTCGGGTTCACATTGACCCAAACTCAAACCCGAACCCAACCCGAAATTTACAAACCAGGCCCGAACCCGACCCGAACCCTAAAGGGTTCGGGTTGGGTTCGGGTTTAACTCGGGTTCGGGTTTCAGATTTCGCTCACTAATGCAATTCATCTAGCAACAATAATATTGATACACCGGATGGTATAGTATATGGACCGAGTTGTATATCCTGTGTTAGGGTACGCATAATTGTGGGCACCGGTGATCGCAATCGCAACGACTCTTTAATTACTGCCTCTAAATAACGTAATTTAGTAATGTTTTCGGCATTAATATCGCAATTGTCGTCAAAGATTTCGTCTAATTCTTCGTGAATGCGACCCTGAATTTTCGGATATAAACCTAGAGTATTGAAAATAAATTCTTGTATCATTTACTGTAAATATTTCAAAATCTATTACAAAAATTATTATTGTTAAACATTTGTGTTTTATAAAACTTTATGATTAATTTATATAAAAATAAATATACCAAGAAAGTAAATAGTCCACGATAAACAGCAGGCTGTTGTGTCGTGTCCGGCAAACATAAAAGTGTCCACTTCTTCCCGGATGTCCTCCAGTGATAGACTATTATTATCACTCAAATGATGCGCTAATAGTAGGTCTAAAAAGGCCAGTCGTTTACCAGGTTTTCCCTCATTATGACCATCGCTAGCGTCCGAACCGTGAAATCCCTTATTTTCAATCATAACCCGCTTTCGATCACTAATAACCCGATGTGTCAGTGAGTGTGAGATATTATAACATTGTTTAAACTGTTTACCAGTTTCGGACAATTTAAATGTACAGTCGGGCCATAAAAGTGGATTCAAAAATCGATACTCCATTATTTTACCAATATGTTGTATGGCATTGATATAATCCCGGTGTTTGTTACCTTGGGCATTTAGTTTTATTCCCATGCCCGTTTCTAGCCGTGTATGTTTTTTAAAAATATTATACCCATGTTATTTATCAGGCAATTATGTTATTAACTAGATGATTTATTTACATACCTGCAATAATATCTAATGATAGGGGGAAAATAAGTTCACAAATATCGATACTCCCCTTATTGAGTGAACGATGTAATTGTTGTTCAAATACTCGGCTTAAGTCATTAAATACGGGCAGAAAGTTGTCGAGTGTTTGTCTATGAAATGCCGGTGCAATGAGTCGACGGCGTTGTCTCCATAGGTCTGTCGACGTGTTAATCAATAAACCCTTTCCTAACCAGTCGTACAGTATATCATATCCGAAAGACTTATCCGTATTTGCTTGAGATTTCATAAAATCCTATTATATGTAAAATTACTTTTTATAAAACAATCTCTCTCTCTCTCTCTCTCTCTCTCT